GGGAACAGGAAAGCAACTTTTAAAAAACATATTTTTCTCGGTTGAACCAAGATACTGCTTTTTGGCTTAGGAGGCCTTTCTCGTCTCGTGGCCGACAGAAAACTGTTCTTTCGTCTAGACGAGAAGATATGCGCTTCTCTCGCTCAAGAGATCCTTTGTCTCGTCTCGTTTCTGTCATGATAAAAACATATATCAAATATAAATTAAGACGAAATATGAAAGAACTATAAACTTTTGCAGATAAAAACAATAATTTTTCAAGTAATTTGTATCAATTGCCGCGTTTGAGAATCCACATCGGATGCATCTGAGATGTAAAAAATCTTTGATCACGTGATTCAGTATACGTAAATGTAATGGGACAGATTTGTCCGATGTGAATAAATTTTATTTAGAAAACGTCTCATTCGGAGTGGTAAAAAGCAATATAGTATATTTCCTTGTGTTGTAGGTATTTATTTAAATTTAAATATATAAATTATTACACAATTAATTATTCTTGTTATAACCGTCGTAATATAATTAAAATTAAACACTTATAACGTAGTGTAATTTCTACAATGGTAATTACAAAAAAAATATAATTTTAATGAGAAGGATGTACTTGATGGATTAACAGCAAATTATCAATATTTGGCTTGAGTTTAACCGTAAATCTCCCCTTTCTGTGATATTCAATCTGCTCCTTTTTTTTGTTAATAAGTTTGTAACGGCACTAAAACTTTTTTCGACGAGATATGACGAGGGAAACGCTATCAGAAGCTTTTGCACAATTCCCCACAGTCCGGGATATTTTCCTGGTATATCTGCCTGCAGCCAAAATTTTTGATACCCTCTTTTAAATGTCACTTTCAGCTCCTCATTAGTGCTAAGCCATTACATAAGAGTTGCATACCCTATTTTTTCTACGACCAAGATCCAGTTCTTCAATCGAAAATAGATTAATTTAAAAAATTATTATGCTTTTAATCCCTCAAAACCTTAGATAATCTAATTTGTTATGACTACTTGTTAAGACAACTAAATAGTAAATCTTTTTTTATTTCCCAAAAGTGTTTCGGATTTTTTCCGCTATAGCCTTTGGACTTTCTCTTTTTATATGGTAGCAATTTTGGGTATTCTCTCACATATCAGTTTTATGTTTAATATTCAGTTGTGTTTTTAAAATGGAGTAACGAGTATTTCAATTTGGTTGAGAGTTGTTCAAAGCAACACATTTTTAGAAAAGGATGATACTTACTTTGTTAGCTTCCAGTCTAAATGTTGACTATACATTTTATACCTTTAATTTCGAGTAGTGTACATGGACCATTATCGTTGCTGGACATCTTTTTTCAAATTTAAAATACCTAGATATTTCAAAATCGAAGATCTAAACTGACACAGAACATAAATTCCAGAAAACTGTCAAAAACTATTTGGGGAAAATAACTGGATGCTTACATGATTTTTACAAAATATAGGTTTCTATTGATCAATTTTTCAGTTTCATAATGAAAAACCAGTGCTATAATGAATATCATTATGAAACTGAACATTAACATTTAATTAACAAATGATAGTACATGAGCAGAAAATAATGTTTTTTTACTACTAACATGAGAAATCACCATTATTTACTCCATTCCTCTAATGAGAAGTAATATTTCTCTCCCTAGGTAAATAATGATAATAAAAAAAAACCTAGGTAAATAATGAAACTAAATTTCATTAGTTTCATTTTGTTAATTTGACAACTAAACTCCCAGACTACTTGATATTTTGAAATATTTGAAAAATAAGTAGGAAATAACTAAAGCTGGGTTTATCAAATCTAATCAAATCAAATATGATAATATATATCAGTGTAAACAGTAAAAATATATATTAACTAGGAAATTCAACACAATAAATCCATGTCATTAAAATATCAAAAATGCAATGGGATATTTCCTAGAATCATACCAAAATTTGACACATGCCAAATTTTTACATAAATAAAGCCAGTCTGATTAGAAACACGCTCCAGTCTGCTTGATATTTCGAAATATTTAACAAATTGTTAGGAAATTACTTATGTCAAAATTAAAATTGCTAATACATTAATGTTAGTAGTAAAAAAAATTCTATATATACCTCGGCTGAGAAAGCTATTATTTACCTCGCACATTATATCCCTCGGCGCTACGCGCCTCAGGATATAAAAGTGCTCGGTAAATAATAGCTCACTTCTCACCCTAGGTATATAATGTACTATTTTTCACTACTAGCTTTAGAAGCTAACTTTATTGACTGATTTTCAGGTAGAAAAGTGGTTCATTATTAACCCTATAGGGAGAGAATTACAGAGCCTACCTGCTGTATTTTATGTAAATGATATCAGTTCATATTTTGACAGTTATTGAGGTTAACTGAAATGCTCAAATGCAAATAAAAAATGTAAAAATATTTTACTTACTTATTTAATGGTCATATCCACTATTCAAATAAAACCAATTCACTTTCATTTTGTGACTAACTCGACCACCAGCAAAAAAAAATTCATTTAATTCTACGTATAAACTGTAAATTCTATAGGTACTAAACTGACGTTTCTGTTTTACATTTAATTGTCACAAGCATGGATGATATGATTTGAAAAAAAGTTTGAAATTGTTTTTATTAGTTTTAAAAACTTAATTTTTTTTAATTAAAATGCTAGTAGTGAATAAAATAGTATAAGAGCAACGGTAGAGAAGTGAGTTATTTTGATCCATTAAAGACCTCGAAGCTTCGCTTCTCTGTCTTTAATGGACCTCGACACAATTTCGAGGTCTTTAATGGATCCGAGACAAAATAACTCACTTCTCTACCTTGGCGCATAATATACTATTACATGCTGGTTAGCAAGAACAACGACGCAATTAATTTGGCGATTAAGGGTTTCGACTTTCAACTGACATTTTTAAATGAGATGGTATTGCTGTTGGACAACTTAAAAGTTTTTAATAACCTAGGCGAGGATGTAACTAAAAAAATGAAGTTTATAACAGGTTTTAAAATAACAATTAGCTCCATTCTTCATTTATGGGATTTTTTAAAACAAAAATCGTTTCTTTTTACTAGACGTTCAAACCAAGATCGGTTAGAAAATTTGTTTGGTCCTTTAAGACAGCAAAATAGTAATTGTGCTAATCCAACAGCTATTCAATTTCAAAGAACCTTTAGAAAGTTCTGTGTAAAGCTACTCAATTCAGAAACGAGTATCTGATGTCATTAAAGAGGATACAAATTCATTCGTAGCTCATACACATCCCTATACTTCAAATTTGCCAGAAATTGATAGCAGTTATCAAAAAGAGTCCACGTTCGAAACGAATTTCGAAAGGTATTTTGCGGGTTACCTAATGAAAAAATCTAAACATTCTTGTACAATTTGCGAGGAATATTTAAAAGCCTAACAAAATTTGGACGATACATCTTTATTTTGTTACTATAAAGCTTATAACAGCGCCAATTTAGATTTATTTGGTAACTTAAACATGTCACACAATGATTTTGTAAAATTTATCTCCTTTTTGGAGGTAATATTTCAAATAAACTTTGAAACTATTATTAAACACAAAAATGTAATAGATACGTTTCAAAGTATTTGTAGAATTACAAGTTTTTCACATCCATGTGAAAAATTTTAGAAAAATTATTCGGTAGAGTAAGATTATTTTATACTCTTAAATGTATTAACCGAAATTTGAAAACTATAAAAGACAAAAAGGTTGTTATTTGGAAAGATAAGTAAATCTTTTTTTATATATAAATCTTTTACTTACTTACCTATATTTGTAATGTATGAACTTAAAAAATAAATCAATAGCTACCCATTATTTTTTTTATTTTCCTGAACTTTTTTTCGGTGCGCCTATGAAATACAAGTAATAACTAAAAGACGAGGTCATAGCTCGTCGGCATCAACTACAAAAAGGAATTAAATGAGAGATATCCTTCTGGGTATTATTTATTCTTGTGCTAAAGATTCGATATAGTTTATAATTACGCCGAGAGGCGCTGCTCTTATATCGGCCGGTGTTATTTAAACTCGCCGAACACAAATCTTCTAATAAATGAGATTGTTGGGCAATCGATATGCTCGATATGCTACCTTTCCTTGAATTTCACAAGGGAATGCTCTTTAATTAGGTTTGTTTATTTTGGTGTGAAATTTTCTTACCGTATCTCCCACGATCTTGAATTAATAACCGAAAACTTCTCCTCATGTACTTGAAAAAATGTTCGGTAGTGAAATTACTAGTGAAAACTGCAAGCCTTGCGATTATGTAATACAGAAGTGGGGGCTCTGCAACAGCTTCGGCCGCGGGCGTAAAATCGCTGTGTAGTAAAGCGCTCTAACGCTTTATGGGGTCTATTCTGTAACAATTGCTTTATATTTAACGGCCTTTAAAAATATTTTTGTCTTTACTTCTGTCATTATTTAAATGGATCTTTAAAATACATTAAAGAACTATCTTAAAGAAATCTGTTTAAGTAATGACAGAAGTAAATTAACGAATACGAAAATATTTTAAAGGCCGTTAAATATAAAGGAATTGTTACAGAATAGACCCCATTATTTGTTTAAATGTTTAATCTGTTTAATTTATTACACAAATTTAATCATGTGTCATTTAAAAAAATAATACAATTGCTCTGAAAATACAACAATTCTGTGGTCGCAGAGTAAAACGCCTCAGTCAAATTTTGGCTATATTGAGTTATAATTACAGTATCTAAGAGCTAACTAGACTTTCCTTGAGTAAAATGACCTGTCTCAATAGACCTCTTTGAAAAGAACAATATAGTTAAAAAATATAGCTTGTTAAATTTCGCTTTTTGATAATCGGGTAGTATCTTGAAACGAGTTTCAACGACTTAACAAATTTTCCCTGTGTCCACAGAATTATGAAATTGTGAAATATTTTAATAAATGATAGATATAATTAGTACAGGACCAAGCAACAATTAGGTTATTAAAAACAAAATCATTTCTCAAAATTATTTTATTCAACAATATTACAAAATAATGTAATAAATCTTATCAATGCAACATCAGGCAGGAATCTTGAAGTGAGGTAATGAAACAACGTGTAAAAAATAATGACAACTAAAAAGATCAAAATGCCTAATATAGGCAGAAATAAGAATGCACCGCTGGTTATTTAAATCACGAATTTTAATAAATTACTGCCAATAAATTTTATTTAAGAGGTCGCATTTGTTCGGCATCAGTCTTTTTGGATCTAGAAGTATGTTCTTCGATTACTCCTTTTCTACAAAGCGATGTGAACATCGTATCTCCAACGCCGAACGTTTCTCCTTCTTGTATGGTTTGAGGTAAAGGTTTGTCCAATGTTTCCGGGAGAAACATAACGCACGTTCCCGATACAATTGATATCACAGCAAATATTATAGACGGAATTTTCGGATCGAAAGAGTCCAAAAGAGATATCAACGGGGTCATAGCACCGGCACTTCTGGCACACATGGCTCCTAATCCCATCGCAAAGCTTCGAATTACGGTTGGGAAAAGTTCTGCAGAGAAATTATATATTATTGCGAACGAACTAGCTATTAGGAATTTTCCGATGAACATGAACGACATGGAAGCTGATACTTGGACTACATTAGCTGCTACAATGCAGCATATGCCTCCTCCGATCATTTCTAATGCTGTGAGAGATCTTCTGCCCCATCTGAAAACAACATTTTATATTTGAGAATGTTATAGACTTAGGTTCCAAGCATTGTGAGGAAGGAAAGAATGAGTAATGAGTAAAATTTCATATAAACATGGTGCTCTAAATTGTCCTTTCAAACAGGATGTTAAATTTTTTGCTGTGTCTAGAATCCCGGTACCGGTAACACATTTTTTACCGGTAGTTTTGATGACGTCACCTATATGACGTACTAGGCACCGGGATTTAAGCAAATTCCGGTAAAAAACGTAGTAGTTCGCGGTTTCTGTTTATCAAAGTCAAACTTAACCTAACTTTTTATGTTATGCTTTTATAAATTGTTTTGTTGATGTGTGAAAGTGGAACATTCGTGAGTTTTTAAGAGCGTGAAATCTTTTTTAAAATAGTTTTTCATATTGAACAAACATTTAAAAGTTATAAATAAGGAAGTTGAGGAGACTTTAAAAGTGTATGAGAAAAAGACATTTGCCAAGTACTAGAAAAGGGACGCCTGATTGATTACAGCCAGCAGAATCAAAAAGGTAGTAAGACCAGAACTACGATATTATGAACTAAAATACTGTTGTATTTTGTGACGTGATATCTAGTTATTGTATCTACTTGTTATATATGATTGAGTTCAATTTATAGGGCGTGGGTTAGGTTTTTAAATAACTCGAATAACTTTGAAAAAAAAAGTTGGGCACCACTATATTTAAAGCTTACTACACTTGACTCTAGATTAGTGATAAAAATATAGAAAATCACAAACCACTAACAAATAATACTTAAACCATGCTTTAGAAAAGGTAGTTAGCAAATTCTAATTCACATAAGTCGTACTAAATTCAAATTTAAGACGATTTATTGAGTATGCACTTATCTTTAGGTAAGTTAGGTAATATACGGAATGTAAATCTGAGTTATCTCATGGTATTTCGTCAGGTAACTTCCACAAAGGGGTTCGGGATCCTTATTCGTAATTCTGCAACGTGAATGATCTTCAGTATTCAAACTTGAACTCGAAACTGACTAGAACTGAAACGTCTAGAGATGAAATTGAAACCGTCTAGAGATTGAACCAAAACGTCTTGAGATGAATTCAAAACCGTCTAGAGATGAAACCAAAACCATCTAGATAAAGTCATGAGCTTATAAAATCAGACGGGTTTAAGACAAATAAAAATCATCTAATACATCGAAAAAAAAAAAAAAAAAAACTTTTGACACAAGGCATAAACGACAAATGACATTTGAGTAAGAGGTGATTGTGTCGAAATAACGAAATAATGGTTTCAACCTGTATTTTCGGAGGGAAACGTTTCCGAAAACAAGAAAATAACTTAAAAGTGATGAAGACATTTAAAAAGGAAATTCCATGTCCTGCCTTTGTAGCTTTACTCATTGAATTAGCAAACAAAATAAAACCTTTTCCCCATTAAACGACATTGTATAGGTATATATATATATATATATATATATATATATATATATATATATATATATATATATATATATATATATATATATATATATATGCGGTTTACGAGATCTTTATATTCCCAAATTAAATCCGGTCTACCATATTCTATACAGTAGAAAATTATGCAGCAACAGAGAAAAGGCAAATCCAATTCATTTGAAAAAAATAAGGAACAAAATTTAATTTTTGGTTGCGCCACTGTTGATTGTAATGTGAGACAAATGGGAGACCCTGTAATTATAATTTCAAACTTGTATATACTTACTTATCCATCAAATATACAGTTACTACATAACTTGGCAATTCCACTACAGCCATTATGAACATATTCAAGAAAGGATTGCCTTCTAAAGAGTTTGTACCAAGCGACAAACCGTAGTATACCAATGCATTGGCAAACCAAGCCAACATGACATTCAGGGTTTTCTTTCTTAGATTAGGAGTTCTGAATAAATCTGCCATTTCAGCGGAATCTTGTTTTGCTTTCGCTCCTACCATACCTTGGCTCACGAATTCCGCCGTGTCCAAATTTAGATGTTTGCCGTTCATTTTTAGGGCTTTTTGTACTATCGTCACTGATTCTCTTATTCTTCCATTGCTCCATAACCATCTGTTTAACAAAAAGCAGTAATATTTTAGAAAAAAAAAGGTTTAAAAATTATTTTAGCTATGTTTCTAACTTTATTGTTTCAACTCATAATTAGTAAAAAATTAATCTTAACAACAGTTTAAGGCCCTAAATATATATTTTGTGTAACACCATTAAAATTCGAAAAAAAAAAATGAGCTGGAACGTTGAAAATCTGTAGTTATAATTTGATACCCACCTTGGAGATTCGTCCATAAGCCATATATGTCCAATGAGTAGTAGAGAATGACATCCGTATACTACTTGTAATATCTGTCTGTCTTTAATTACGCTAGCCCAAGCTGCTACCAACATAATACCCATGGCAAACACCCCTTGAAAAGCCACCCCGCACATAGATCGTTTACTGGGACCCACTAATTCCATCGAAAGTACAAAACCTTAAAAATGAAAAATTTATAATTATTAATTTGTTTACTGGATTTACAACAGACAGACTTAAATTATTATTTGTCAATTTAAAAACTAATATAACAATTTTTTATTGTCTAATGTTGTTATTTAAGACATTTCATATGAAAAGGGTATAGGTTTATAGGAGATTTTGAAATTAATATGCGAATCTATATCTAAAATACATTATGTTATGTTAGGTATTAATACACTGCGACCTAAAAAATCTATTGTGTCCCCTTATGTCAATAATGCAGCAAGGAAGTGGTCTCCATGGCTATAACGACCTTTCCAATTCTATATTCTCAAGAAAGTTTAGGATTAGGAGAGGCTTCAAGATAGGTAGATCGTCCTCTTCTATTTGGTATGTTCCTAAGTATAGTGCCCTTGGATTCTGGAGTGCTACACCTTCAGTCAGAATGTGAATGGAGGTTTCGTCCTTCTCCTAACAAATTCTGCATTCATCATTTTCTGCTACTCTCAGTTTACTAAGGTGTCTTTTGAGTCGGCAAGATCTGGCAAGGATCCCTGATATAATGCGTAGCCTGTTCTTGCTTAGACTGAAACAATAAGCTGCCGATCATTTTTGGAAGTATCTTAGTCTGACAGTCCCAAGAGATTGTTTCAATTATCGGTTCTTCTACTGCCCAATTCTGCTGATAGCGTAGAAAAGCTCAGGTCCTACAAAAGGTGTGTGAACCCATTTCTTTGTGAGACTATCTGCAATGCCGTTACCCTTTACCCCGTTATATTCCGAGACCCAAATGAGAGTAACTGTATTTTCCTCGTATAGATCATTTAATTTTTCTAAACAACTCCAGACTATTTATGAGCTGATTAGGTAAAAGCAGATCAGTTCTGCTCTTTGATGGCTGCTCGACTCTCGGATATGATGATAATCTCTGGTCTTCGATAGTTTCTTTCAATGTTGAACTGGATACACTTCTCAATGGCAAACTTTCAGAATGCCTGGTTCTAAGCCCATACACTCCTATTCCAGTTCTTTCTACGGTTTTGGAATCATCCGTATACCTTTGTCTTCAGGTTGCAAGCACGATGGACTCTTGGCTTCATTCTTTCTTGCAGCTCACCTATGTAGTTTTGAAGTTTTTCTTTCTCTTTTCGTCCTGGGGCATATCCCAAGTGTCTTTGGTCCTAAAGCTAATATATTTTTGTTTGATTACTCCATTCGTAATCATTCTATATCTTGTACTTTTTTCCACGATCTCTATCATTAAATGAAGAGGGGTGAGGTTTAATATCATCTCTATTACGGTCGTGGGACAGGTTCACATTGCATTGGCAATGTTTTTACATACCATTAAGGCTTTGTGGTCTTATTTACTACTTCCTTCTCATGTATGTTCCAGTGAAATTGTTTTGGTGGGGTTTGTACCCTAACCTAACCTAACCTACCATCTTTTGGTGTGTTCTAGTCCTCTTTGGACTATATCACACAGGATGTTTGCATCTCGGCATAACCTTTGACAGGGTATATCAAGGTCAGCCAATCTACATAAAATACATTAGAATCTGACGAGTCTTCGAATCAGCTAAAACCAATGAGCGTCATAAGACTCATAAGTTACAGCTAATTATACTAAACGTGTTTACACTAATAAAGATGAATGTCCCGCCATGTTGGTGAAAAAGATGAATGTCCACCGGTGATGGGTGGCGATCACGTGTTTAGTACATAACAGATGTGAAAATTAAAATGATATTCACAGTTAGAGAGCATAATTACTAGAGCGGGATCATAGGCATATTTAGAATGCCTAGACAAATTTATGCCCATTCAATTTAAAAATTTCCAGCACCTTACAAACTAATTTTATAAAAAGTATTTGAGAGCAGACGAAACAAAGATCTCACAGTAATGGAAGAATTGCTCATGATAATACAGTATCGTGAATCTTAAAACAGAACCTTTACTACTTCTGTGGTAATACCTGCTGGTCAATTTGAGTTAATAAATCTGAAATACCACCGGAATCTCCAAGACTTGAAAAAGTTTTGCGCAAATCCAGACGCAAGGCATTATTCTTCAAACTTTTCTCATAGCCAAAATTTTCTCCACTTCGATAATTTTTCAGTTTTTTAATTTTATATACACCAACGTGATAACCTCAAATAAAATATTTTCACCTACGCCAATAGCAATTTAATTGGTATAGTCGTTATACCCAACACCCAAAATAAGTAATCATGCATATTTGTATTTTAAAATTGTTTGTGCCATAAACTATTTTTTGTAACATTTATCTTTTTACCCCTGTACCCTTGATATGTTTGAACTTACCGGGTATGTAGCTGCCTGCCGATCCGAAAATGCCATAAAAAAATCTAAACATTAGGAAGGACAAATATTCCGGAGTGAAAGCCACCCCAACACCTAGCACCAATTGCAGCACGGCTGACCAACAGAATATAGGTTTCCTGCCATATTTATCAGCCATTTTTCCTAATATTACAGCACCTGTGAATACTCCCATCATGTAGACTGATTGTGCTACAGCAGCCATCCACCTATAAGAAAAAAAAAACGATTTTTTTTAGGTCTACAATCGATTATTGTGATGTTTTGCCTTCTCAACTTCACCACCTACTATTTGGTGATTCACAACGAACATTTCTCAGCTAAGGATCGAAATCGAAGAAGCAATATTAACCCCACAAAAATGAAACATCCTGTATAAAATACTTTCACATGTTAAATTTAGTTCCAAATAAAATATCAGTTCCAGTTGCATACAATAATAATTATTCTAGAATATGTTGCAAATAGAAAATAATGCCAAGGTTACTAATTATTATTTATAATGCCAAATGTTGTAGGTTTGATATCAATGGTCGTACTTATATAGGTAATATTTTTTATAATACAAAGCAATAAACTATGAAGGTATTAGATTATTTGTAGCCTTGCAAAGATTAATAATTGGAACAAGCAATTAATTGATTCCGTTCAATTATAAAATATATTCAAGGAACCTACTTTTTTACTATCTAAAGCAGAAATTAAACTATGGTTAAAAATAACGTTGACAAATGAGTTATAAAAAAGAGTGTACTATTTTTAGGTACATACATACATAATATATTGATAATTATTGAAAAAACTGAAACATTTTTAGTAACGATATACAAAATTTTACCAAAAAAAGATATAAAAAAGAAAAAACGATACTATTTAATGGATGCTTTCAACTCAAACTGAAATAGGCATGTTACCTAATGGGAAAATTCATTGTGGGAGAAAATTTTCCAAAAATTGTGTCAAAAGTAACGTTTAAAGCTAGTTAAATTAGATGTGTTCAACAATTTTGCTGATGTACAGATGTATATAATAACCCAATTGGGTGATCAATAAGTTGTATATAAGTCTATCTACTCTTGTAGAGCTAATGACCATCAGCTGATCAGTTGTACATTAGCTCTACATAAGTCACATTGAATTGAATATAAAGCTGAAGAAATCTTATTCTAATCTGAAAGTGCACCATTCATCAACTATTAGCATCAACAATAAGCTTAGTATTAGGCTGAAGAAGTGCTATATTAGGCAGAACTTGAGCCGCCGATCTTCAGCAGTAAAACTTCTGCTATAACTTCCTACGAGCAATTCGTTAACTCGCTATTAGGCATTTCAAAAAAAAAGGTTGCCGAAGGAAAGGGTTGGTATAACTAAGGGTTTGCCACATAAACCCAAGAAATTGATGACGGGACCATTGAGGCTAGGAGAGAAATGGATGATTCTCGAATAACTGTGATTTTTTATGTCCAGTATTTTATTTATCGTTTAGCATAAGTTTTCCTCATCAAAAAGTTATTAGTATTATTTTAGAGGTTTCTCAATAAATTCCACGGTAACCTATATATTTTATTGTAAAAAACAAAACCAAAATTTATTTTGTAATATAAAATATGCCTCCTCTTATAACTACAATCTAATGCATAAGTACTGCATTGAATTTTATTGCAATTTTATACCAATCTTTCGATTGGTAAAAAAAATAATCATTTATATGTCAGTACCGTGCAAATAATGTCAGTACCGTGGCAATAAACATTTTTAAATTTTGTCACGGTTTCCGTTGTGTTGTAGCTGTAGTATAACCACTTTACAGGCTTATTTCTGTGCATAAATAGAAAACAAAAACGCGTAAAACATACGTTTTAAAACATTTTTAATTTTAGAAAAATTTAAGTTGTAAAAATCACCTACATAGTAATCAGCCTTAGTTGGCAACACCATGAAAATATCATTTTTAAAAAGCAGCTTATCAATGGCCTAGAAGCAGGATCTAGAAGCACATACTTTGATTTTATTTTACTATACGGAGAATGGTCGCACTGCGCAGCTTTCTGAGTGCCTTTTAAAAGGAGATAGAAAACTCCGCCATTTTGATCCCTTATTACGTGTTGCCTACATCTTGGCCCAATATTTTTAATAGGTGCGTTTTAATCATCCGCTTCTGCTTCGGAATTGTCGATTTTCTTGTTTTAATCTGACAGGTTAAAACGACTAAACCGACAATTCCGGAAGCAGAAGCGGATGATTAAAACGCACCTGATATTTTGCTTGCTGCTGTCAGTGTCAGTGTCATATTATTTTTGGAGTCACAGTTTATTGCTAAAGAATCAGTTAGCTCACTCAGACCAGTTGAAAGTTCCAAAATAACATCCACTCCAGGGATACAAATTCAGGATACGCAAAAGACTGCTGTTTTTTTATAGGCGGTTGTCATATATTGTATTATTCGAGTTGCGCAGTGTATAAACTGGAACATTCAGATCAAAAGTGCCGACGCAGAGTGAGCGATCTGATTCTTTAGCTATAAACTGTGGCATAGGAATCAAAATGGCCGCCCCCTATGTTGGACGTATCGGACCTCTCTCTTGCTTCGTATAGTAAAGAAAATCAAAGTATGTGGCCTAGAAGCAATACCTCGTAAGTACAAAATCTGAAGAAGAAAAAGCAATAATATGTATGTGATTTAAAAAAAAAATGAAAAAATGATTGAAGGGCCAAGAGAGTAAAAATGCCATACATAATGTTGTATTTAACTTTTTGACATAATGATTAATAAATAATATATTTATATAATATAGGGCATTCTAAACAAAATGGTTGCCAGTAGGTAATGACAGGCCACTGACAGGCACATGATAGGTTATGCTATGGCAACACTGTGGGCCTGGCACATACTTTGATTTTCTTTTACTATACGGCCACATACTTTGATTTTCTTTTACTATACGGAGAATGGTCGCACTGCGCAGCTTTCTGAGTGCATTTTAAAAGGAGATAGAAAACTCCGCCATTTTGAACCCTTATTACGTGTTGCCTACATCTTGGCCCAATATTTTTAATAGGTGCGTTTTAATCATCCGCTTCTGCTTCGGAATTGTCGGTTTTCTTGTTTTAATCTGATAGGTTAAAACGACCAGTTGAAAGTTCCAAAATAACATCCACTTCAGGGATACAAATTCAGGATACGCAGAAGACTGCTATTTTATTATAGACGGTTGTCATATATTGTATTATCCGAGTTGCGCAGTGTATAAACTGGAACATTGATATCAAAAGTGCCGACGCAGGGTGAGCGATCTGATTCTTTAGCTATAAACTGTGTCATAGGAATCAAAATGGCCGCGCCCTATGTTGGGCGTGTCGGACCTCTCTCTTGCCCCGTATAGTAATCAAAGTATGTGTATACGGCACATATTTTGATTCCTATGTCACAGTTTATAGCTAAAGAATCAGATCGCTTACTCTGCGTCGGTACTTTTGATTTCAATGTTCCAGTTTATACATTGCGCAACTTGGATAATACAATATATGACAACCGCCTGTAATAAAACAGCAGTCTTCTGCGTATCCTGAATTTGTATCCCTAGAGTGGATGTTATTTTGGAACTTTCAACTGGTCCGAGTGAGCTAACTGATTCTTTAGCAATAAACTGTGACTCCAAAAATAATATTCACTGATACTGACAGCAGCAAGCAAAATATCAGGTGTGTTTTAATCATCCGCTTCTGCTTCCGGAATTGTCGGTTTAGTCGTTTTAACCTGTCAGATTAAAACAAGAAAACCGACAATTCCCAAACAGAAGCGGATGATTAAAACGCACCTATTAAAAATATTGGGCCAAGATGTAGGCAACACGTAATAAGGGATCAAAATGGCGGAGTTTTCTATCTCCTTTTAAAAGGCACTTAGAAAGCTGCGCAGTGCGACTATTCTCCGTATAGTAAAAGAAAATCAAAGTATGTGCGTGCGTGCTGGAATCATCGCGAGTTGCGTCGCAAAAAAAATTAAACATAATATTATAATGAGAAAAATTGAGAAACCCAACTAATTTACCTAACCTGTGCAGCCTGGATCGATCGCGAGTTGCTTTGTAAAAAATTATAGATTAAACGAGAACAATAAAAAAACTAGAAATTATTATTTTTATTGCAGACAAATGAAATTCAAATTCAAATATTTTCGAACCACAGTTTTTCGAACAAAACGATTTTCGATGTAAGGTTTTTCGAAAAATGTTATTTTTACCTAGGATTTTTTGAACAGACATGATTCGAACAAAATTCCTGCCACCGCTTTGGACACATGTTGCACACTATATTTTTTTGACGACCAAACTTTTTTGGAATTTCTAAAATAATATTTTAACAACATAACAATACCTAGATAGATTATATTATGTGTAACAAAATTAACACAGGAATTTATTACATCATTTTTAATTTAACTAATTTAAATTGATAGTAGGAAACAAAAATTACTGCAAACACTCCAAATAATTCTATAGTTCTCGAAGCAAGTAAATCCCTATTTAAATTTTAAATATTTTGACGCTACACGAACTGTCAATTTTATTATTTATAGAATACAAAACAAGTAGGTACTCTTTTCAAAAAGTAGGTGCATCAATTTCTTGTCAATATGAAGTGCAATCGTTTGTTCGGTGATTTGGCGCGGAACAGGAGTAAATTTTTTTAGTGGTTTCTAACCGCCTAATTCACAAACGATTTTTAAACATACGTGGAAGTTATGGAGAATAATTAGAGAATTAGACAATTAATTTTTCTTAGAATGGTATCTTCTTTCGTCAATGTTACCACGCGACCGGATAGATCGTCTAAGCTGGCAACCTGACATAATTCATTTCTTGCTCGCATTATTTCTAACTCTGTCGTCTGTTTAACTTTAACAAAGCGTACTGGAAAGCGTTCAATCAGAGGCGGCTCGTGACCCAAATTTTGGTGGTTCACAGTAGCAGAATATAGATCCCGGTACAGATATAGGTAAAAAACTGTCAGTGTGTTAGAAAGGTATATTATAAACTTTCTAAAACACTGAAAGTTTTTTCATACATCTGTACTGATACCTGTATTCTGTCACTGTGAACCACCTCACGAGCCGCCACTGCGTTCAATAGCCGACACTCTATAAATGGCATGGTGAACGAACAAAAAGGTAACAGCTGCAAATTTGATATTTTCCATATTTAATATG